TCAGATCCCTCGGAGGGGCGGGCGGCTGGGACGAGTTCCCCTGCCGGGTATCCGTCCGCAGGTAGTGAGTTGGCGCCTCCTTTTACCTATTACCCCGCCGCCGGACCTGTGGTCCTGGCGCCTCTTCACGCAGCGTGTGACCTTCCGCGGGGCATGGAGTCCCCACAGCTTCATAACCGGGGCGGAATCCCTCCACCGGATCTATTTTATATAGCGCCCGGTATCCCTCCGCGGGCTTTATAGCTCTGGGTGGACGCCTCACCCCTCTGGTCTGTATCCTTCCTCGGGCGTGAGGCGTCCCCATGGGGCTGCAGGGCCCGCGGAGGGATACGGGGCGGGGGGCGTGAGGCGTCCCCATGGGGCTGCAGGGCCCGCGGAGGGATACGGGGCGGGGGGCGTGAGGCGTCCCCATGGGGCTGCAGGGCCCGCGGAGGGATACGGGGCGGGGGGCGTGAGGCGTCCCCATGGGGCTGCAGGGCCCGCGGAGGGATACGGGGCGGGGGGCGTGAGGCGTCCCCATGGGGCTGCAGGGCCCGCGGAGGGATACGGGGCGGGGGGCGTGAGGCGTCCCCATGGGGCTGCAGGGCCCGCGGAGGGATACGGGGCGGGGGGCGTGAGGCGTCCCCATGGGGCTGCAGGGCCCGCGGAGGGATACGGGGCGGGGGGCGTGAGGCGTCCCCATGGGGCTGCAGGGCCCGCGGAGGGATACGGGGCGGGGGGCGTGAGGCGTCCCCATGGGGCTGCAGGGCCCGCGGAGGGATACGGGGCGGGGGGCGTGAGGCGTCCCCATGGGGCTGCAGGGCCCGCGGAGGGATACGGGGCGGGGGGCGTGAGGCGTCCCCATGGGGCTGCAGGGCCCGCGGAGGGATACGGGGCGGGGGGCGTGAGGCGTCCCCATGGGGCTGCAGGGCCCGCGGAGGGATACGGGGCGCTCTGTGGCCTTGGTGCATCACCCCAATGGCGCCCCCTCCAACATCCTCACGCCCCGTATCCATCTGCAGCCTGAGAACACCCCAGCGCCTTCACTCTCATCTTAAATATTCCTCCGCTCCGGGGCAAAGTAGTCCCCCACGGAAGGGCCTGGCGGTGCGAACCCCAAAGCCAGCCCCGGCGCTATGCGGTGGTTTGATCCTCCACTGAGCAGGGTGAACAGTCCCTAGTAATAAGCCCCGTCTTTCTTCTTCCCCCGCCAGGTCTCTGTTGCTTGCTGGTTGACTAACCCTGGCGCCCTTCCATGTGCCAAGTAAATAGGCCCCGGTGATGGCGTCTCTTGTGGGGGCAGCGACATTGCCCTGCTAAGTCCAGGGTTGTGAGTTCAGTCCTTGAGCAGGGCCATTTAGGGATGTGGGGCAAATCTCTCAGGGATGGTACTTGGCCCTGCCATGAGGGCGGGGGACTGGACTCAATGACTTTACAAGGTCCCTTTCAGTTCTAGGAGATAGGTATATCTCCATTATATTATTATTTCCCTCCAGTGTTGAGGAAATAGTTCCCAAGAACATGCCTCCACCAGGCACAAAATGACCTCAAACTAGCTACAGGAATAAAGGGAAACAAGAAGACTGTTTAATAAAGATATATTAGAAGCAAGAGAAAGACCAAGGACAGGGTAGGCCTACTGCTCAGTGAGGAGGGAGAAACAGTAACAGGAAAGTTGGAAATGGCAGAGCTGCTTAATGACTTCTTTGTTTCAGTCTTCACCGAGAAGTCTGATGAAGGAATGCCTGACGTAGTGGGAAGGGGGTAGGTTTAGAAGATAAGATAAAAAAGAACAAGTTAAAAATCACTTAGAAAAGTTAGATGCTGGCAAGTCACCAGGGCCTGATGAAATGCATCCTAGAATACTCAAGGAGCTGATAGAGGAGGTATCTGAGCCTCTAGCTATCATCTCTGGAAAATCATGGGAGACAGGAGAGATTCCAGAAGACTGGAAAAGGGCAAATCTAGTGCCCAGCTATAAAAAGGGAAATAAGAACAACCCAGGAAACTACAGACCAGTTAGTTTAACTTCTGTGCCAGAGAAGATAATGGAAAAAGTAATTAAGGAAATCATATGCGAGCACTTGGAAGGTGGTAAGGTGATAGGGAACAGCCAGCATGGATTTGTAAAGAACAAATCATGTCAAACCAATCTGATCGCTGTCTTTGATAGGATAACGAGTTTTGTGGATAAGGGATAAGCAGTGGATGTGGTATAGCTAGACTGTAGTAAGGCATTTGATACGGTCTCGCATGATATTCTTATCTATATAGTGGACAAATGCACCTTAAGGTGGGTGAATAACTGGCTGGATAACCATACTCAGAAAGTAGTTATTAATGGTTCTCAATCCTGCTGGAAAGGTATAACAAGGGGGGTTCCTCATGGGTCTGTTTTGGGACCAGCTCTGTTCAATATCTTCAGCAACGATTTAGATATTGGCATAGAAAGTACGCTTATTAAGTTTGCAGATGATAGTAAGCTGGGCGGGGTTGCTACTAATCTGGAGGATAGGGTCATAATTCAAAATGATCTGGGCAAATTGGAGAAATGGTCTGAGGTAAACAGGATGAAGTTTAATAAAGACAAATGCAAAGTGTTTCACTTAGGAAGGAACAATCAGTTTCACACATACAGAATGGGAAGTGACTGTCTAGGAAGGAGTATGGCAGAAAGGGATCTAGGGGTTATAGTGGATAAGCTAAATATGAATCAACGGTGTGATGCTGTTGCAAAAAAAGCAAACATGATTCTGGGACGCATTAACGGGTGTGTTGTGAGCAAGACACGAGAAGTCATTCTTCTGCTCTACTCTGCGCTGGTTAGGCCTCAGTTGAAGTATTCTTTCCAGTTCTGGGCACCACGTTTCAAGAAAGATGTGGAGAAATTGGAGAGGATCCAGAGAAAAGCCACAAGAATGATTAAAGGTCTAGGGAACATGGCCTATGAGGGAAGACTGAAGGAATTGGGTTTGTTTAGTTTAGAAAAGAGAAGATTGAGGGGGGGACATGAGAGCAGTTTTCAGGTATCTAAAAGGGTGTCATAAGGAGAAGGGAGAAAACTTGTTCATCTTGACCTCTAGAACGAGACTCAAGGGGCTTAAACTGCAGCAAGGGAGGTTTAGGTTGGACATTAGGAAAAAGTTCCTAACTGTCAGGGTGGTCACACACGGGAATAAATTGCCAAGGGAGGTTGTGGAATCCCCATCTCTGGAGATATTTAAGAGCAGGTTAGATAAATATCTATCAGGGATGGACTAGACAGTATTTGGTCCTGCCATGGGGGCAGGGGACTGGACTCAATGACCTCTCGAGGTCCCTTCCAGTCCTAGTATTCTATGGTTCTACGCTAGGGAAATAGTCCCTGGCAATCTCTGCAATATAGTCCTCTGCCTTTTTGGGGAAATAGTCCCCAGTGGCCTCCTTGGTTTGGTATCCCTTCACCACCCGTGGGAGGGAGTTCCATGGCTCTCTTTTGCAGTATCCCTCCGCCATGCCAAGGGATAGTTCTCTGGGCTAAATCCCTATGCTGGGGAAATAGTGCCAAGGTGTTGAGCGTCACCTCCCTCTGGTATCCCTCCACCACTTTGGGGAAGTAGTCCCTAGATGTTATTACATTCTCCCCTGCAATATTCCTCTGCTGTGGGGCTGGTGTTGATGTGACTCTCACCTTCTCCCTCCCCCCTGCAGGCGGTGGCCATGTCGGACTCTGGGCACAGCCAGCCCGGCCTGTACGGCCCCGACCGCCGGCGCCGATGGAACCGTGACAAGGAGCTGGGCCCCCCAGGCGGCCCCCAGAGCTTGTCTGGGCCGGGCCGGGAGCGCGACTATGGTCCCTGGGACCGCGAGCGCCGGGTGAGTAGTGGCGGAGGGGCCGCAGGGTGGGGTTGGGGCACTGCAGGGACCCCCCCCCTTTCTCACCCTTTCCCCCGGAGCCAGTCGGGTCCGTGCGCCGATGGAACCGTGACAAGGAGCTGGGCCCCCCAGGCGGCCCCCAGAGCTTGTCTGGGCCGGGCCGGGAGCGCGACTATGGTCCCTGGGACCGCGAGCGCCGGGTGAGTAGTGGCGGAGGGGCCGCAGGGTGGGGTTGGGGCACTGCAGGGACCCCCCCCCTTTCTCACCCTTTCCCCCGGAGCCAGTCGGGTCCGTGATGCAGAAGACGCCCATCATCCTGGCCAAGCCGCCCGCGGAGAGGGTAAGTCCCATACACGGGGGAGGCTGCCCCCTAGGGCCTGACACTCCCCCCAGCAAGAGCAGGGTCAGTCCACAGGCAGCTCTGGTAGGGCTGTATCCCACCGCCTGGAGCTGCAGGAGTTACTCTGGCAGCAGCAGTAGGCTGTTAACCAGACCAGTCGCTTAGTGAGGGCGTCTCATCTCACTTTCCTGGGGTTGTCTACACTACCACCCTAGTTCGAACTAGGGTGGTTAATGTAGGCAACCGAAGTTGCAAATGAAGCCCGGGATTTGAATTTCCCGGGCTTCCTTTGCATCTTGCCGGGCGCCGTCATTTTTAAATCCCCGCTAGTTCGGACTCTGTGCCCGCGGCTACACGCGGCAAGGAGTAGGTAGTTTGGATTAGGCTTCCTATTCCACGAGGTGTACCGGTAGTTCGGAATAGGAAGCCTAATCCGAACTACCTACTCCGTGCCGCGTGTAGCCGCGGGCACAGAGTCTGAACTAGCGGGGATTTAAAAATGACGGCGCCCGGCAAGATGCAAATGAAGCCCGGGAAATTCAAATCCTGGGCTTCATTTTCAACTTCGGTTGCCTACATTAACCACCCTACTTCGAACTAGCGGGGTAGTGTAGACATACCCCAGGAGAGTCCAGCAAGAGGGAAGACTGGCCAAGAGCCATGGGTTCTGCCCCAGCTCTGGGAAGGGGTGAGGGGCTGGGAGGCAGGACTCCTGGATCCTGTTCCCAGCTTAAGGAGAGTGTGAGCAGGGACGTCCTTGCTAACCTCGTTCTCCGCACAGTCCAAGCTGGCCCCAGCCCCAGCTCCTGTGCCACCTGCCACTGCTCCTCCCCCCATGGAGAAGCCCATTGTGCTGATGAAGTCACGGGAGGAAGGCAAAGGCCCAGCAGGGGCGCCAGAGGGGACTGCCCAGCCTCCCACAGGCGTCCCACGCAACCCGTCTACCAGATCCAGAACCGAGGCATGGGCTCCGCCGCGGCCAGCAGCACTATGGACCGTGAGTGTGCTAGGAACAAGTGGGGATTGGGGGCAGGACAAGGGGTAGGAAGCTGTAGCCCCAGAGCGGTGCGATGGGAGAAGAGCCCTGGGTCCCTTTAACATGCATGTGGTTCCCAGTGCCAGCTACCGGATGGCAGCACCCCTCCCAGCTGAGCAGCTGGACCAGGCTCCTGGCAACTGGTGAGTGTGGAGGCTGGGGGTCAGGACTCCTGGGGCCTCTCCCCAGTGGTCTGGAGCCGCACGGGGCGGGGACACCACGTAGCCAGGCCGGGCGGTAGGTCTCTGAGCCCCGTCTCTTTGCCCCTCCCCAGCTGTGGTGGGCCAGGCGAAGCTGCTGGCGCCAGAGAAGATGAAGCACAGCATCAAGCTGGTGGACGATCAGATGAACTGGTGTGACAGTGCCATTGAGGTACCTGGCCCAGGGGTGCCCCCACCCCACATACAGACCCTTGGGTGCCCCTCTGCTCTTGGGAGCGAGGCCAGAGCAGAGCTGGCACCCCACCCTCCCCAGCTGTGGTGGGCCAGGCGAAGCTGCTGGCGCCAGAGAAGATGAAGCACAGCATCAAGCTGGTGGACGATCAGATGAACTGGTGTGACAGTGCCATTGAGGTACCTGGCCCAGGGGTGCCCCCACCCCACATACAGACCCTTGGGTGCCCCTCTGCTCTTGGGAGCGAGGCCAGAGCAGAGCTGGCACCCCATTCCCTCCCCCTCCCCCCCCAGCCTGCCAGTCTCTGCCCGGGGCTGGGTGGGAGCCATCACCCCCTGGAGGGGACAGGCCCCTGCCCCATTCCCTGCCCCCTGTGCCGCGCTCCCTGCCCTTGCCCTGCTGGGTTCCCGGGGAGCTGGCTGCCACTGAGTGCTGTGTCCTCGGCAGTATCTGCTGGACCAGACAGTCCTGCTTGTGGTCGGGGTGCTGGGATTGCAGGGCACCGGCAAATCCATGGTGATGTCTCTGCTGTCAGCCAACCAGCCTGAAGAGGATCAAAGGTGGGGGGTGCGAGGGGGCTCGCCCGGGGGCTGGTGTGCTGGGGTGGATGCTGAGTGGCCGGGGCTGGGGGAAAGCTGGGTTGTGGTGGATGGGAGGGGAGATGGGGGGCGGTGGCAAGCGTTTGGGGGGAAGTGCGGGCTGG